TGCCACAAACCGTATGTCATTTATCATATACCCAGTCCACTTGAGAGAATCGCATTCAAGTGAATGCACAAGTTTTTCCCTCAGCCTAAAATTTCTATTTCTTTCACATGCTAATGAATATGGAAACGATATTTGAAATGGTAAAATTGATTTTAGCAAGAACATACAGGTCCTAATGTGTAAATGGCTAGACAAAATTTGACCTTCTAATCTAACACGCAAACAATGCGAGCATAAACGGACGTTTAGTTATCCCTTTAGCCAAAAACAAACATTTATTTCTTAAACCAAGCACCTTAAGTATACTGAACATTCGTAAGCCTTTACAGCAGCCAAAGTCTTATCACACCATTTTTAGCAGAAATGTTTGGTCAAACAAACTATTCATCGGAATGGATGATGGTTTTGCAAAATCTGCATATGGCCATTGTACATGTGATCAGGGGATGGAAATCGGAAGGTCTGCATGAGTATACAATGAGCACAAGTACAAATTCAGAAATGAAGTATAGTATTTATAGTGTACAACTTTCAGGTGCCTCTCATTCATTGTGGCATACAGAAGGATGTGAGGACTACTTTGAATTCGTGACGGAAGTCAGAAGACGTCGCAAGCGATAGGATTAGCCAATTTAGTGTGGTAGCATGTGGTGGCAAAATAATTTGGGTCGCATGCCATTAAGTGCAAGCTGAATAAAATGCAACCCATTGGATGGGGTCTATCGGTTTGTAATTCGACGCAACAGCAATCATCCGATATCACAGCTTAGTGCAGTCTGCTTGAGTCCATGTCCAAGCGGGACCCTGAATCTGAGTCTAAACCAGAGCCTGAATCAGTGAGTTCACTTATGCGCTGAGTAACAGATCAACCGTGTAGTTCAGGCTTTGAGTGATCTTAAGTACGCCTGCTGTGGTCCATCTCTGCTTCATATTGGCCATACTGGAGGGAGAGAGGAAGAGAATATTAGCTCAGCTCTCGCATCCCAGAAAGAGTACAAATTAGCAACCAGTTAGAGCTTCTACAAAATCAAACTGCAACGCTTGTTTGGGGTTGGAGATATTCGGTCCACACTCGTGGTGGATAGTGGATTTAGGCTAGCACTGATACGGCGAGGGGACAGGACGTCATTTTAGCCTAATATAAATGGTTGGTTTAGGGATTTCGAAGGCGATGGTAGATATCTAGATTGTGGAATGAGAGTTGATGTGTTTATCACTACGGTTGAAGC